TCTGGGAAGGGGCCAAAGGGGATGCTGTGGAGGACAGGTGTAGGTGTGGGTTCACAGGGCGCTTCCACTCCCAAGTCAACTAGAGCAACGCGATCCTTACGAGATCACTACTCCTCTACCAAGGGACAGAGTGACCCTTCCCACAGATAACAGGGCTGGGTCCATCCTCTCTCGTGGAGCCTAACCACACTGCTGCAGCACTTTGCTTTCAAGTATGTGTCCTTCCCTACTTGCCTGTGAACCCCTTGAGAGCAGAGACCACCTGTTGGCATAGAGCCTGGCATTTGGTTACCATCTGATAAATGGCTTTGAAATGAATAAGTGGACTTTAAGCAAAAAGGATCCGGAAACCACATTAATATTATATATTAATAGAATAGGAACTTTTTAGCTAAATGATCCTATAGTTGCTGACTCTACTGACAAGTAATTTGGAGCCCTTACAGAGTCACATGAAGACATTTTTGATGTGGGTTTTGTTCTTAGTCAGTTAGAAGGAGAGATTAGGTCATCTGAAAGGCTTTCTTTCAGGTTTCGTCTGTGAACCCGAACACTGAATGATTAATGGAATTATATTTGGAAACTGCCACTTCAATGACTTATAAAAAATTGAATGATTTAATATCAGGTTAACCATGAAGATAATGGAGGCACAGAGGAGATTATATCTGAATAAGAGATTCTGACAGGGTTAGTGACAAATCCAGCTGTTTCCAAGTCCTCCCACATTCAGAGGTTTCTGCTTGGATTCTATTTGAAAAGTGAGTGGGTATGATAGAAAAGTTAGCTTAAACTCTATTGCTTGAAGGACCCTCGTATGGAGAGTTTCACACCTCTTGCCACTTTCCATGGACATACTGATTTAGGAATAAGTGTTTTGACAATGTGGATTTCAATCTAGAATGCTACCGCATTGGAGGGAAAGTTCTTCACCTCCACATTTGGGTAGAGAGTTGCTCTGGGAACTTGGCCATGAGACACCTGGAAATTTCTTTCATCAACAACCATTTATCAAGACTTGAAGATCATGAGCTCTTACCACCTGAAATTAATTATTAAAAGGCATGTTTACAGATGGGTGTACTCATGGTAGCAATATGGAGCACAGAAACTGGAGTCAGAATGCCTGAGTTTAAATCTCGCTTTGTGACTTAAGGCTACTCAAATCTTCCGAGGCTCAGCTGACTCACACCCAGAATGGACTCCATCATCCTCTTCACTGGGCTCTTGAGAAGACCGCCTTCCATAACGTATATGATGCACTAGCAGTAGGCTGGCAACTTGTCAAGCACTCAGAAAATATTAGTTGCCTTTCTTCCTTTTTGAGTGATAATTTGTTTACTGGGAAGAAAACAAAATGCAATACCTAGTACTCAAGGAATTTACAATATAGTTGCTAAGGCAAAGGTCATACCTACAAAAGATATATAGCTACACATAACTGGGTAAGATAAATATCTAGCTGATGGTATGATCTGTAGTGCTATGAGTGTAAAAAGAAAGTGACTATCACAGGAGGAGGAGGCAAGGGAAGGCTTCCTGGAAAGGCAGAATTTGAGCCAGAGCTTTGAGAATGGTGGATTGAGATGGACAGAGGAGGGAGTAGAGCCGGCCAATCCAGACAGAAATAAGAGAAGTAACTAGAAGAATGTATAGGGCAAATTCTGGGAATATGCACAGACTGGTATTGCTGGAAAAGTTTATTGAAATAACGAAACATAAGGCTTTTGGTAATGGGACTTTAAAAGCTGGGCTAGAAAACTGTCTTTATCTGGTAGCTAATGGAAAGCTGGTAAAGGTCTCTGAGCAGGAGAGAGCATGGGCAAATAATATCATCTAGAAAGCCCGTGAGTCTACACCATTCACTCTAGTGTTATGAGCCACGCTGCTGTGAAAAAGTCCCTTTCATTACGCTAATACTCAGTAAATCACTGAAGACCCACTGCAGAACTCCAAGGAAAACATTTTATGAATCAAAAGCTAAGTACAATATGTTAGCAATTAAATGAGATAACATAATAGCCGATGCAGAACCATGGCTTTTCCCCACCACGATTTCAAGCTGCTGCAGAAAGAAATGCTTATATCGTCTTCCAAGTTATCGAGCCATTTCGTTTTTATTTTCGGAAGGCAGGGAGAGGAAACGAGAAGAGTGGGGAGGTCAAGAGGATTCAAAGCTGTCTATTCTTTAATCAGAAGGCATTATTAAGGAGAGCCAGAAAGGAGATTTGCTCAAAACCAAACCTGCCCCGGGATGGTGTTAAGTTACTGCCACTTGCTCCCACTGCAGAGCAACAAATGAAGGTGTGCAGTTGGGAAGGAAAGTCCCCCAGGCCGCTGCGGAGGTTTCCGGTGCATACCTCCCACTGCTACTTTATTTACTGCAGCTGGCCAGCGTTTATAGCCTGTTTCATGTATTAAAATTCAAATGTGGAAAACATTACCAGGATCCTCCTTGAATTTTTTTGTTGTTGTTGAGGGGGATGGGTTTTTTTTTTTCTCTTCCCCTTCAACTTCCTTTTTATTGTGGAATGCATCAAATGGTCAAAGGCTAACTTCAGACTGACTAAATGCAAAAACTATTTCCTTTGTTCTTAGGTTTTTGTTTGAAAAATTATACCAGTTTGCACAAGAAAATGACAATGCAATCTCGTCCACACACGTGATGGAGTTTCAGGTGGAGGGCCCCGGATGCTGGGGGCCGCTAACTATTTTTGAGGAGAAAGACCACACAGCCCCACTTGGTTTAAAGGACATCAGGTTGTGGCCATGTCATGTCTCTGGAGTTGCTCTCCTGTCTGGGGGTCTGTGGTTGTCCTTGATGGGATCATAACTGTCTTCAGAGGAGCGGGCAAGAACTTTTCCTCATCAGCAAAACTAGCTGCTTTATGGCGTCTGCACAGTTTTTCAAAGTGAAAGACACTCCTGTGTAACACGGGCTGATTAGTTCTGCTTTTCTCTCTTCCCCTCCACCTGGGTCCACCCTGCTTCCCATCTCCAAAGATGATTCTAGTCTCTTCCGATCCCACCTCTGAGTCAGCCTCAAAGAGGAGGCAACTCAAAGGTCACACAGTTCCAAACAGCATCTATGTATAGTTTATTATTTTAAAGAACCACTTAACCTACATCTGGTATTTAAGAGCAAACTTTACATATTTGTGGGGAAAAACAGCTCTGAAGCAATGCCCTGGGTGCATGTGGCATCCGTTTAACATATGCAAAACGAACACAGCTACAGAAATTAAACTATTTTTCTCTTGATTGAGAGCAGATATACAGAAATGGTTATAAGTCACAGATCTGGCTTTTAATAAAGCCAGATTTCTTAATTAAAAGCAGTATTGTTTAAACATTGTAGTTTTAAAAAAAAGAGCTGTACAAACTGAAATCTCATATTATATGCATCCCAAGTGTATTTAACACATTACCTGAGGCCAAGCTAAATTAAAATCTAGATTTTCCTTTTGTTAACTCTTAGCAACTGCCATGAATAGACAAACAATTTCTACTCAATGATGAATTTTTGGGGTAGAGGTCAAGGAAAAGCGAAAAAGAAAAAAATGATTTAGCTTTGGCATTCAAAAATATCTTTCCACGTCTTAGAAGTGAGTTCATTGCTTCTATTTATAAACCGGTATTTTTGGTTTCAAATTGGTTGCAGGTTTCCATAACACACTCTCAGGATGGTCCTCTCGGTGTTTTACTAAGAGAAGTCGAAAGGACGCAGAAGAACAGGACTGAGCAAGGAGCCTCGGCATGACCTGTACTTATTTTGCATTCTCCTTTCGGAATCATCTTTAAACCAGGGACACTTTATGGGATAACAGGAAAGCAAACTTTTTAAGAATCTATAAGGTACAAAACGGGACAAAAAAGTGTTTACTGCTCAGGTAGGAGTTTGTAAGGAGTGGACTTACACAGAATCACTAGTAACATTAAATTTTCCACCCATTCGGACCTCATTAATTGTCATCACTTAATATTTTGTTAGGAAGATTCTCTGGATCTTCATAATCACCCCAAAAAGGGATTCACTCCCAAATCCTTACCAAAAGCAGTGGGCAGCATTGAAATCCCAACTGTAATGTGGACAAATCTGCTTAAGCCGCATTCAAATAGACTTATGAATAGGCAGTGGCAAAACTACTGTGCACTTTAATGACACAGTCCCACACCAGGTATTTAGACAGACAAACCCATCATATATTTCTACCTCCTATACTCAGAATTCAAAGGCACTGATTCCTTTCTTTAATAAAAAAAATTCAACCTATTCATATCTGAAATGCCAGCAATGGAACATGAACATAAGATGATTGGGTCCTTTAGCCAAAGCCACCACGGTGAAGAATTTAAAATACCAGTGATGACCCGGCAATGCTCTCCTGGGTATGTACTTAAGTGAAATGAAGACGTGCCCACACTAAAGCCTGTACATGAATGTTCATAGGAGCATTATTCATAACAGCCAGAATGGAAATAATTCAAATATTCATCACCCGATGAAGATAAATACAATGCACACAATGAAATATTGTTTGTCAACACAAGTGGATGACACTCTGATGTATGATAAAGCATGCATAAACCTGGAAAACACTGTGCTAAGCTGAAGAAGCCTGTCAGAAAAGATACCACATGTTGTATGATTCCATTCATAGGAAAACCTAGATTAGGCAAATCTACTGACAGAAAAAGTATATCAGGATTGCCAAGGGCTGGAGGGGTTGGGGGGAGAATGGAGAGTGACTGACCGCTAATGGCAATGGGGATTTCTTTTCATTTTGCTGTGTTCTAAAATTAGACTGTGGCAATGGTTACATAACCCCGTGAATATACTAAAACACAGTGAAATATAAACCTTAAATGGGTGAATTGCATATTAAGTGAATGTGCCTCAATAAAGCTATTTTTAAAAAGGGAAAAACAGCAGCAATAGTGTTTATAATTGAAAATCTAATTTTATACGATAACTATAGTCTACAAAGTTCATCACTTACCATGAGTGAATGTCTGTTGGCTGAAAGAAGACCGGTTCCATACCCTGAGCCCAGACCACCCATTGCTCCATTATGAGAAGGTCCAATGATCCCATGCATGTCCCCGTGACTGCCAGGCATAGCGGTGGACGGGCCCACTGCATGATTTCGGAGAACATGAATGGCATCATCCAGTCTTTCTAAACGATCTTCAATCCGGCTTTGCTGTTGGTGAATAAAATATGTGAAATTTGATTTAGTTTGAAGTGCATGCATATGTTACATAAGTAAAACTTGAGTTCACACACACCCCACTTTGAGTTTCTAAATGTTTCCAATAAAGTTTATTTTATTAAAATAATAAGAAGAATAGCATCCTTCCTAGACAACTGGTGACAAACGTTAATGTTATAATCAGTGTTATTTTTCATGAACAAAGTAAATTCAGTAATTCTTCCAGGACATTTGAATGTACATATGCTATACTATATTGTATTAGCTTGAAAGAGAATTTAGATTTACTTTAGAAAAGAAAAACATTTATTGATTTTAAGAAACATTCTGACAGGCATTGGTGAAAAGATTTTTAAAAATTAGCAATGAAAAGGTGACCTATTATTTATAGTTTCCCAATTAAATTATCCTCTGGAAGGTATATTCCTTGGTTTCCTCTGTGACATGATACAGTGCTAACTATCAAGTCAGGGATGAGTAAATACATACAGACAGTAATTTCTTGAGTACTATTGATTTTCACCTGTGTTTCTTGATGTCTACTTTCACCAGTGCGTGTGTGTGTGTGTGTGTGTGTGTGTGTGTACAGAAGGAAGTGGGAACTCAAAGTAATCACAGAAAAAATTACAAAAATTCTGTCAACCAACATGGTATGAGATTTCACTACTGAAGAATCACAAAGAACTGAATTAATGTTTACCAGAGCTTCTAAATGATTTCAAAGTCCTAACTATAGTATAGAATTCACTCCCTTATACAAGTATGCAATTAAAAACCAACTAAACTTTTTTTCTCATCCCAGCCTTTAGGATCCAACTTGTCTGCAACTAGATAAGATCTGTACTGTGGTTTTTGGTGAAGAACATGGACATGTAGTTGTGTATTCATTTTTTTTCCAGTGTGATAAATTATGATATCAAATCAACATCTGCATAGGACTCTCCAGTGTATACTTTAACATCTAACATCCCACTGGGCCCTCATACTACATGAGTGAGGCAAGCAGGGAAGACAATATTACCCCTTCCACAAAGACATGCGAATGAGGCTCAAAGAAATTAAATGAATTAATTCACCAGTGTCACAGTACCAGGAATGATAAAGCCAGGGTTCAAATCTAAGTCTTTTGACTTCAAATCTAATGTCCTTTTGTACTACAACATGCTTCAATCCGCTCTGACTTTCAGTGGGCTGTGCAAACAGATGTACCCGCTTTACTGTATGAGAAGAACAATTTCTAATTATTCTACACTGACAGGAAGAATGTGGGTCTAATACACGTAGTCTATGGTGCAGAGCATTCTGGTTTGGTGGCCCTGGTGTTACAGGACCTCCCCTAAACTCTTAGCGTGGCTACTAGTATGACCTTGGAAAAGTTGTTAACTTCTTTGAGTCTACGCTTCTTAATTTTAAAAATAGGAATGCATGCATATGTACACTTCCAAGTGTAAATGTAAGCATGAAACGGAAGAATACATGTGCCTACCATCCTTTCTGGCTCACAGCTTCCTGGAGGAGAGAGCAGTTTCTCGTGTGAATCCCCTCTTGAGTGTTGAGAATTTAAAGGAACTAAAGCTGTAGTTCACAACTTTAAACCCAGTCTTTACAGTTTTATAGTTGGACAAAGCCCAGTTTTGATAGATGGGTCCCAGAGAATAACTGATGGAGGTAAACACTGGCGGCAGATTAGTGGGGCTGGGTAGGTAGTGCATATGCCGCCTCGCTCTGTGGTTGCCTTTACCGGCTAAAATGCAGAGCTGGGTGATTCACACACCTCAGCAGGGAGAGAACAAGGGGGAAATATACCCTTGTATTTTTAATTTTAGATTTTCCTTAATTTAAATAGTAAGCCAGAAGAGAAGGAACCCCTGAACCGCTGACAAGACAACATTAAATTAGAGACATGTATGCCTTCTTCCATGTTCCACCTCAACGAAGGGAAACAACATGGAAAGACTGAAGAGCTCCTTGCTGCTACCCCTCCCCATTTGGTTCATGCACAGCTGGATACTGCACTGAGTGGTGGTGTTTCACGCATATTTCCAGTCCCATCGCTGAGACTTGAGAAAGCCTAGAGAGGCAGACACTGAATCATCACCTACTTAGAATATTAATTAACCCCATGCAAATTCCCAGCCTTTCCCTACTGGAAGAGCAGAGATGTACTGATGTCACTAGGTGTCTATGAGAACCAAAGTGAACAAGGAAGTAATAGTAGGCTTCTGGTTCCAAGGTCAAGAGGAAAATGCCTATAAACGTGTTATTCTGGGAAGCAGAGCAGAGAATATAGGATCCTCAAGTGTTGCAGTACACAGCTTTAGCCGGGACTTCAGCGCTCATCTCAGGGAAGTAATTTAATCACCGGCTGGGATCTTTCCCCAGATGGGAAGGGGCCACTATCCTTCCAGGATTTTTAATCTTCTATCTGGTCCTAGATCTTTAGAGCCCTGGGCTTACACTGCAGCAGTATCTGGGTTACAATCTACAAACAGGAACAAACACAGTGTAATCTTGGAGTGAACTCGAGGCAACAAGAGAAACATGCTCTGGAAGTGGCTGGAGCAGAGATGAGCAGATGACTTACCAAGGAGTGCAAGGGTCCTTCATAGTTAGGAGATGATGAGGCCTGCCCTCCATTTCTAGACCAAACAGCTGTGCCTGCTGATATGAACAAAGGAATTACAATGCGATCGACATCATCTTAAAAACAATCTCACCAACACTTTCAACAGTTCTCTTAGAAACAGCAGTGTTGGTTTCCATGCGGACCCTGAGGTGAACCTCCCATCCAAAAATTCTGGGACAAGGAAAACATCTGAAATGTAAAACGTGGAGACTTTACATAGACTCAGAATTCTCTCAAGCTTCCTAAAAGGAGGAATTTTAGCTAGAGAAGTGTTCCTTTGAAGAAAACTATTACTACATAGTCAAGGTCCTTTTAAAAGTGCAAAGTGGGAGGGGTACCAGGGCGGGCCTTTGTTATGCCTCCATGCAAGGCCAGTTTGTTAAACCAAAATTCTCTCACCAATGAAAAACAGCTTTGCGACTTGGTTTTAAAATGATCCTTGAGAAGGAATAAGCCTTCAGAAACTTTTTAAGGAAATAAGATTAGTTGGCAGGGATCCACAGAACCAGAAATTTAAAAACTCAACATAACAACAGTAATAAGTAAGTAGTTTCTTCTGAAGAAAATAATTTTTTTAAGATTCGCTAAACCTGCAGGTAAAGAAAGATGCCTGCTATAATAAATATTACATGTCTAACGTCCTACTTTTAAATTTAAAATAATATGCACTCAGAATAGAAGATAAATAATTCAAGTAAGGAAAATAAAATCTACGATTTCACTGAATCTCACGCCCGGCACAGTTAGCCCTTTAGATATTCATTCTCCTGTCACTTCTGGGTGTGCATGTGTGTGTATTTTGATGCTAAATGAAAATAGAATATTTTGTCCAATTACTTTCAGGGACAGAATCTAGACAGAGCTATCAGTGTGAAAACAGCGACCTGTCCCCAGGTCTACATCCCCATGAAGCCCTTCCCTGCTGCCAGGTGGTCTTCCAGGACGGGTTACCCGGGCCTCGCAATGGCCTTACTTCTGGTCTTTCACCCAGAGCACCCTGCTCAGGTTTAGAGTATTTAGGGCGTTTTCTGGCATGATTTGTGCACCACAACTTCCGGCCCCCCATTAACCTAGGAGTGGAGAGGCAGAATTGCATGCACCCGGATCTTTGCTCTCCGGGATTGCTACAGACTTAACCTTAAGCATTAGACTAAAATAGTGGTTCTCAAGCTTTATTAGACTGTAGAATTTCCCCCCCAAATTATAAAATAGACAAAATTAGAGCTGTTTTGCTTAAAATGGGCACACGGGGTTTTGTCCTTGCTCAGACCCCTCCTCGTGGGTCTCATGGAATGCCGCCCTGTATAACGAGGCTGGCGGTCACTTTCCAGAGCTGAACAACATGGTATGCACCGCACAATGCTGAGCTTCCCTTGCCTTTTCTATCATGGGGAAGGCTTCCCTGCTGTTGCAGTGTCCCCTTAATATCATCTCTGTTTCTTGCCAGTTTCAACTGTCTCTCTGGGCATTTGGACTTAAATGTCCAGCTACCCCTCTCTATTCTGTGCCACCCCCCATGTCAATGGAGGCTTGGGAAGGCTGATATCAAACCCCGCCTAAGCCAAGGCCATCGCCTCCGGAAGCTTGGTGGTGATCCGAACCAAAGAGCCAGGTTGTGGTGGGCCCTGTGAGTGCTGATATAGGGATGGAGGAGGCAACATTTCGGCAAGTGACTCGCTATAAATTACAGAAAGGTCAGGTTTCAATGAGGTACAGATGTGACCTAGTTTTGTGTTAGAAGCCACCTGCCCTCCTTCCAGAGTGCGGAGACAGGCACCAGACAGGGCCTTCTGGAAGCATTTATACTGGAAGGGCAATGAGCCTTTTAAATGGACCTCTGCTTTATTAACATAACGTAAGAACTTATATTTTACTACTTGAAGCCATAGTTCATGTAATTTGTTATTTTTAAAGGCAAACATCCCCTTTTATTCCACACACTTCACAATTTATTTACAAGATTATAGTTTCCTCAAACATCCCAATTACATGGACTTCAAAGAGGGAATTTGGAAAGTCTAAAATTTCTGTCGGAAAAGATCCTCTTGAATCATCTATATTTGATGACTGTACAATCATAGTCAAGGCTATATGTACTACCTGGTCTCGTTTGAAATGTTTTATTAGAACATGTTATTCTGTGGAGTATCTTCTAGAGAGCTAGGAAAAATTTCAGAAATAAGTTTCCCATATGTCTGTATATTTTTAAAAAACATCTAATTTTTAAGAGAAGTTTGGGTGTAAATGACTGTGCCTTCACAGGGCGGTCTGGCTCTCCCACTCCTTTCTGTCTGTTTGGAAACGGTGTTTTGAGCCTGTGGAGGGAGGGAGCTTCCCCTCCGAGTGCAGGGAGTCCAGGGGGACAGTCACTCTCACCAGCTGGCACTGTGAGGCATGGGAGCAAGGACAGTACCTGAGAGAGAAGGCGGAGAGCCGACAGGAGTTGAAGGGTTTGATGAAAAGCTGTTGTTAGTGTGATCTGGAGAATAGATCTTAAAACAATGGGGAGAGAAGAAAACAAATCCTCATTATTAGGAACAAACAATCAACAATTTTGTCAACTGCAAAGTATCCATGCAATTCATTTAAAAGTTACAACGTACAAAATACATTTAGTGATCAACTGCAGTAACAACACATAACCACTTTAATCTTTCAAAATCAGAATTACTGAGGTCATATAAGATCGCCGGAAAAGACCTGGACTGGAGGTCAGCAAACTACTTTTCTAGTCCTTTTCCTTCCACTTCTCCCGTGGCTGCTTGGCTGTGGGAAAGCCACAGAGATACACAGAGCCCACCCCCACTCCGCAAAACAGGCCAGACCAAGTCATCCCTAAGATCGTTGTCCAACTCCCTCTTCACCATGATTAAGGCATTTGATTCCAAGACATGAGAATGCCTAGATTAAATAAAAACTTTTACTTGGTAAAAATGTTGAGAAATCAAACATTTTATGCTCCTGATGGTACGGAAAAACCAACTGAAGAGATAAAATGTTAAAGCAACAAATCTCCACTTACATTTGCAAATGCCCATGCTTAGCTTTTGAGGACACACCAGGCATCCTCCCTCACACAAATAAGCTGTGCCATTGTCCCTAGCGAATGTGCAGGACCCCTCCCAGTGCAGCCTCTTGGCCATAGGCAGGTAAGGCAGAGAAGCGGAGTCCCCAGGTGCCAAATGTGTGACAGTTCCCCCTAGACCTCACTGATGGTCTTTTTAAATGCCTTTTCTAAAGTGTTTTAGAATTGCCCCTCACAAAGTCAGTCTTAGATGGTAAATGAGGGGCCATATGACTTTAGAGAAAAATAAGAAATCCAGATAGAAAATCTATACACCTAAGGGCTCCAAGAATATCCGAGAACCTGTAACTGAGTACCACTTAGCAGCCCTGAGGAGACAAGATGGAAGAGACCAGCCAGGCATGGAAGCTTCAGAGCTCTCCCTTCAGATTTTCCAGTGATCATTATGCAAGGAAAAAAAAGCGAGCATTTCCAAAATCAAAGCTCTTTGCCATTCATTGTATACAATTCCACATGTCCACGTCTGATTAAAGTTCAGGCCTCCACAATGCTACGTATGAAGGCCAAAGTCAATATTGCCTCACCGAAGCAAGTGCTTTCCCCAGAGCATCTCCAGTCTGGGAGCTGCCTGCTGCTCCGCTTCCTCTATTTGCTGCAAAAACAAAAGGCAGAATATGAAAAACCAGGCAGTGAGACGTCTAACAATTTTCTATTCCTGGTCCATTTACTTACAATTTAATTGCATTTTTAATGCTAATTATGACACATTAATTTTTAATTAGCATTAATTTGTTTGCTGAGGTAGATGTCAAATATATTCATGTTACATTTTCTACAGATAAAATATAAACCTGACACCTTGGTTTAAAGATATAGTCTTTTAGTTGCTATTACCTTCAGGCTTGTTACCTAGGAGTGTGTAGTGGTGAATGCTAGTTCATTGCTAAGAAATTGACAGTACTTTCAGGTGTCTGAAGTCCTCAAAGTTTGGCTTTTCTTTATATTTTAGATAGTCAACTGAATTCTCCTCATGCATAATTTACACCTTCTTTGAAATAAAAAGAGGTACTCCTCTCAGAGTTCCACAGTAAACAAAATCAAACAAAAAAATCTGTAACAGGCCTAGGAGAGAAAATATTTTTAATATTTGAAATAACATGTATTCTCCACACATTTAAGTGAAATTTTAAAAAAATTGAACTGCTGTGCTACTAAAAGTCAGCATGGTCTCAGATTCTGGAGATAAAATCAGTCTACATAATCATGAAGCTATGGCTCCATCTTAAACACTGGTATTTTTATCTACAAAATAGATGAACAAAGAGTACTATTAATAAAAAGACAGAGGTGCTAGTGTATAATCCAAAGCCAGCTCTATTCAGCAAGTGTCTTTGAAGGTAATTTGCCTTTACACAATGGGACAGCCAGTGTTCCTCGGAGGTCTTCAGCCTCAGCACAACGCCTACGTGTGCTGTGCTGCAGTCATCAGGGCCTCAACATTAGCAAATCGATGTAGTATTTAAATAAAACCTATTAAACTCCAGCGGAAGGTATTTTTCAATACTTGGTGAAATAAGAAAACTGATTAATCCAAGCAAAACTTTATCACACAAATAATTTTTTAAAAATTCACAGCCCTATCCTTGACCCAAGAAAGCAGCTTTCTGGCAATGTGTCTCCACGTCCAGTCTGTGAAGTGGAGTAGAGCTCAGACCCCAGGGGTCAGCTTCTCCCCATTCTCCAGGTTACAATTTCACTCTCTTGGCCTCTGCTTAGCACAGTTGAATTGTGCTGGCTATTTTCACATATTCACATGTTGGGTATGCCAGTTAGTGGTCTTTTGATGTGTGTTTTATTTGATTAACAAAACCCACCCCCATATTCATGTGTTATTACTAAACCTGAAAGAACACTGATAGACGATAAAACGAACACAGTCACCTTTGGACAAGACATTTGTTTTCATTCCACAGACTCATATGAAAACTGAATCATTAAAAAGTAGCTGACATTGTCCTAGAAGAAGTGAAGCTGTAATCTGTAATTTCCAAATGTAATTAAAAGGCTCGTCTCTGTATCGGCTATTAGTACTAAGGATTTTAAGTGGAAGCAACTTTGAAATGGGGGTCTGACATCATGCTGAGCTAGTGGAAGGAACTCATAGATATCAAGAGTATTAAAAATACTTAGTATAAGAGATAAATAAAATTTTATCTGGCATGAAAATTAAAATTGTTGTATTAAGGAGTTTTTTTTTAAATAAAGACAATTCTAAATAGAAAATAATAAATATTTTGAAAACATAGAGAGAACTAATATTTTCCAGCTGGTATTACCATAGTATTTGTGTGTGTGTGTGTGTATGTATGTGTGTGTGTGTGTGTGTGTGTGATACACACACACACACACATATATATATACATATATATATATCATATATATATTTCTAGAAATTCATATATGTATAATTTTCGTAGAAGTAACATTATCATATACTAGTATACCTAAAATTAGATTTAGCAGTCAAAATAATTTGTGATGTCTGCTTAATTACAAAACAAATCTCCATGATATGTAAGTGCAAAGCCACAATGGAAAAATTACATTATCTAAAAAAGAACTGAAACCCAAGTAGTACAAGATATTGTTTCAATTACAGATAACATTTGCTACCATTGTGGCTTTCAAAAGCTTAATTCTTCCTTTGAACAACTTTAAAATTAAGATAATAAGTGTTTAAAAATACTTTTTCATGAAACCAAACAGAATTGAAAATCAACAGAAATATTTTAGGAACATTAAAAAAGCTAATTATATGTAACACACAAAAAATCACACTTTATAAGAAACAAGACATAATTATTATGATCACGTTCATACTAAACTTTGTATTAAGTGCCTGTTATACAGAGGGAGATGTTAGGACCTAGGAGGTAGATTAAAATATAGAATCAACTCCTTACCTCAGGTTGTCATAAAAATGATTCCGAAAACTAACAGGCTACTCATGGAGGCCACTGATAAGAATAGACTATTTTTAATATGCAGCCATTCCACCTTGCAGCGGCAGCTGGAGTGAGGAATCCAGGGCTTAAATTTCAAAGCAGTTTACTGGGCCAGTTTGCCCCTTCGCTTGGAATGCCTTTTGTTCTGTTCCAGGAAACGTTGGAGAAGACACATTTTCAAGAGTCCCTGAGCATGTTAGGCGACATGGGGCCTTCTGCTAGAGTTCTCTTTTTATTTGTGTGACTGATATGTCAAAGGGCACAAATAAGCAGGCAGTGAATATATTATTAACTCTCAAAGTTATAATTTCTTTTATATTAAGTAATGGGTCATGTTTAGCCAACGCGCTTCTAATAAACTTGGTGCTTATCAAATCCACCTTTTGGCTTTAATGTAACAGGACTTGATTACTATCCTAGGCCCAAGTTTTTGTCAACTCGTATTATGAGCAAGTACCCAAGTGCCCATATAACAAATAAAGATGAAAACTACTGCCCCTATTTGGTAAAGACTGGGTTGGTTTCTTAAGATATTTTAGCTCTAATCAATTTTTCTTGCTCCAGAGAAAAAAGAATCTGTCTTTAAGCAGGGTTGCAAAGTAAATATGAGTGGAAGATGAGCCGTGATTAAGAGGAACTGTAATTCTGTAGGAGGATTCGGCACTGCCAGCCACCCGAGCACTGTTCAGGGGGCGTGTGCACAGGTGCTTGTTGCCGGCTGGATATGGAGCAGAGAGAGGGTTCTGCTACATGTCGGACCACCCTGGGACTCACTCTCAGCTTTGGGGAAATGGCAATTCCCATTAGAACACACCCTCATCAAAACACCAGGAGGAGTGGTGCCTGGGGATCGACTACTGAAAATTAGAATTGCGAAAATATGTTACCCCTTTAATACACACCCATAACCTCAGGCTGGGAACATCACAAAGATATAAAAGGAATGATAAGTGTAATTTATAGTGTATTTGCCTGAAAGAAGATGACTGCTTTGAAATTTAGTTATTTCTGAACTATGTGCAAGTGAGCCTCGTATAATTAAACTATTAAAAGCATCCTAACAATGTCATGGACTTGACTATAAAGATGACACAAGAAGGAGCGTCTCCAGCACTCTTACAGAATCTAATTTTATAATTAAACCTCAAATTAGGGCTAGGATGCACTCATTTTTAGCACGAGGGATCTCTAGAAATTCAGGGCGAAAGTTGGGCCCCAGGACCATGTGCAGGAAATGGACAAGACTTAAATCAAACTAGTTTACTGTTTTCCATTAGCGGTCTTTGTAACTATGGTGCCATGACATTGCTGGGTGAAATTCATAAACCCTTATGCCTGTCTATCACCCAACTCTATCTGAAGGCTCAAGATTCTTGTAAAAGACAAAGTGAATCTATGTGACTACTCTAATATAAAATAACTGTGAAACCAAGTCCCCAAGGGGAAATTGACATGTTTCTGCTAGAAAAGCCACATACTCAAGTGCTTCATGTCATACAAACATGTCATTAGAAGTGAAAGTGGTAAGCCAGATTAATTCATGAACCAGATAGATATTCCAGGGTGATCTTTAGCATATGTTGTATTAAATCCATCTTGGTAGTCTGTTCCTTCAACACTGTTTGGTTTGAGGTTAAAAACATGGGAAATGCCTTGTATGAGAAAGCAGGCCAGTTAAAGACCAATAAAACAATAATAGTTATTATAAGCATTATACTGGTTGTATGCCCAATTCCCTCTGAGGGAAAGGGAGGGTGTATAGCCCAAACAACAAGAAGTCACACCCTAGGAGTGGATACAAATGGTATCTCCCAGGGGGGAACTGCAGCTCAGCTCTCTCCTCCCCGAAAGTGTCAGAAGTGTGTGTGGTATAGTCACCTCAATGCTTTTGACCAGGAAGGGCTATTGGATACTGCAGGAAGGAAGGAAATATGTATATAACAAAATGTATACGGCTACTAGTCTCTACACATTTCTATCCTCTACAGCTGGTATCTAGTAACTTACTAAACTTCCTTCTCTGAGATACACCCAGCAGGATAATATTGAGAGGGTTTAGGAATAAAGTTTGAAGGGCTTTGATACTGGTAACTCCTGAAGCCCTCAGCCTTAGCTTCTCTCCTTAACTGGGTGCTCCATTAGTTAAACTTCTATGAACCCATGCTGTGTCCCATGCATTATACGATACACTTCTAGATCCCTCTAACTCAGAAATGTCCAGTATAATCTCCAGTTTGCTGGCAAAGCTTCAGAGGAAAATGTGAATTCTGTGTAACAAATGAAATACTTTAGAATTCTTTCAAAAATCCATGGATGAATGTGTCAAAAAAAATTTCACCATTAATATAATCTCAGTAAGATTTATCCTTCCTAAGGGTTTCTCAGAAAAATGATACTGGGAATTAAAGGGGGGAAAAACGAATAAAAATCCCAAGAAACAATGGTCATTCCTCCAAACCAAACACAAGCCATCCGAGATCCCAGTGAGCATCTTCCATCTCTGAAATGCAGAGAACAGAACTAGAGGCAAGGGAGCCTGGCTCCAGAGAGGATGCCTTCCAATAGTTCTAGAGCTTTCATATCACGCCGCATGCATTCTGTTGTCCTACGATCAGTTCAGGACAATTGTTGACCACCAGGAAGATGCATTATAACATGAAACTGAGAAATGGGCCAATAATCTTTTGAACGGAAAAAACAGCTTCCTAAGACATCAATGTTGTTTATTAAAAGATTGCACTGCCTTGCAACTTTACACCAAGAAAACTTGAAAAATCTGATGTCCATGTGTTAGCGCTTGAACCCCATTCTTACGGCATTAGTATTGCTTACAGCCATTTTCTACAGAATCATGTGTGTAATCTTAAACATGTGTCAAGCTATGTGTTCCCTATTTACCAATTATTTAATTAGCTCTGTTTGTTCTTTGCGATACAGGCAATGTAATATTTCTTTATTTCCTGCATTTCAGAATGAGTGAGTATATGCCAAGTATTTTCAAAAGTCTACAGATGTATCCTATTAACCCATACTGTTTGTTAGGGAAGCATTAGTAACTGAAGAGAAATCTTCTCTTGTTATACAGACATGCTGCCGTCCCTGACTTCTACCACACTCTGAAAATCAAGCCAAAACCTAAGAGAATTAAAGTGCGAAGAAACTTGAGTCACGCAGACACTATGCAACCATGAAGCCTATTATCATACCCAAATTTTCCTCTGCATTTTAACTGGAGGAATTGGAAGACATGTTTTAAGGGAGAACATGAGTCTTCTCTCTTACAGTAATCCTAAATTCATAACTGAATTTATGCAAGTTCTTCCAAAATGCTGAATTACCATGTCTACTTATTTCCTGAAAAGATTATAAAGCTTTTTCACATTCTACTAGCAGATTTTGACAAGTACACCCATGGTTATGGAATAATTTATGTAACAATGTTTTGCCTAAAAAAATTCCTTTTCCAGGTTCCAAAAATCTCATACTTTTCCCTTTTGAAATTATAGCTTCCTAATTATTACCTAGACCCTCCTTCCACTTAAACAAGTTAAGTCCATCTTTCGCCTAGAGCTCCACCCTGCCCAGGCCAAACGAAGGAGAGGAGACATTCCTATTCATCTATGAGCTAATGATGAGCCAACCAGCTTAACTAAAGCAAATCCCATTCCCACCCAGATGCATGGCTTTGCTAACCACAGCCCAGGGACGAAGATTACGCTCTCGCAATATCTTCCTTCCCAAGTCTAGTGCCTCTCTCCCAGGAAGACTGTTTTGCAAATTAATAAACAAAACTTTTTTTTTCAAACAGTGCCTAAGTATGTTCTCCTCAGCTCAAGCGTTTGCTCCACCTTTATACCTTCCTAAAAAAAGAAAATTACTCAAATCACAAGTAGACAGGAAATCTGCCATGTAAGAGGATGAATGACCGGTCAGCCTGCTTTATAACTAGACCTCATGACTGCAGAAAGGGGCTTTCCATGTGCCAAACCACACTGAAGTGAAATATGCTTCTCTCACTCTTTCAGTTCTGCACTTCTTTCTTCTTGTTTTTCAAATCTGCCCAAACTGCATTGAGAGTGACAAAATGTCCCCATATGACCGTAGTCCAGAGCCCCCCAAGGTCAAGCTCATGCAACACATTTGTAGAAACTTTGTTATGAAAAGTTACAAAAATGGAAATTCCAAAATTTGCTTCTCAATGAGACATGATAGCGAAGGGCTGCTAGATGGCTCATCTCAAGTGTGAAATATATTATTGAATAAACAGAGAGTGTATTATTTAGGCAGGATTATATCTGCAACACTTCAAAATACATCTCTTTTTTATAAAAGACTCCCACATAAGTGATTCATACTAGTTCCCAAAGTTCTACAGACCAAGGAAAATGAAAAAATCTACAAATAGCTAAGAGGACTAGCAGCAGGATTACTGCCACACATTCTCCTCTCTAAAACACACAGTGAGTGTTCTCATCAGTGACCCCCTGGAAGTAACCCTAAGCCCCAGCAAGGTATGGATGGGTGTGAGCTAGAACCAGCGCAGTGGCACTCAGTGAAGCCTGAGAGGACCCTGGAGCATCAGGCTGTAGTGCTGGGTGACAAAGACAGTTGACAAAGGCCAATTCAGAAGGGGGTGCTCGCCTCCTCCCCAACCTGAACTCTTTCTTCCCTGGGCAGCTAGACATCCTGCCAGCTCTTCCCTCCCTCAAGGTGAGAGTGTGATGGGGAGCCATCTGTCCTCGGGAGAAGACCACAGTGGACAGCATGGAAAATGAGAGGAGGAGGATGGCTCAGTTAATCTGCCAGCAACTTTCTGCTTTAACTTATTTTTTCTCAACTTGAGAAAAAGTAGCAGATAACTTCTGTCCCACTGATGCCCAGCCGTCTCCTCTCCTGTGAGTGAGTGACACTTCTTCCCTCTGAAGGACTTCACCATGCGGCATTCTTCTGAAGGTGAAGCTCATCTAGTTATTACTAGTTGCCTGTCAGTTTCACATGAACCCGTCTGCAGAAGACTGTGGCGTGTCATGGCTAAGAGCACAACACAGTGACTGAATCTGGGAAGTGGTCAATAACTACTATTAAGAGATATCATGGTCTTTATCTCATTAGTCTTCAATGGTTTGTCTTATAAAAGTTCACTTTGCTTGCTGTTTGGGAGTATGAGAAGCAAGGTGGTTTGGTATATTTAAATCCTGTTCAAACTAATTACAATAGGCAAAGTAGCCAAATTTCAGTTTCTTGTGGAAAAAAATGTGATTATGGTCAAGCCAATGACTATTTCTGTTTGGTTCATTTGTTTGTTCAGTTATGTGATAAGCATTCATCCCCTGACTGCTGTTCAATTATGGGGGGTGGGGGGGGGGGGTAGAGATCTTTCATTATAATCCTGACATTGAATGTTGGTACCAGAACTGGCATTTCCAAAACTCACCCATTATACTGTCTGTCCCGTTGGCAGGAGGCGTACAGGAAGAGGTGCTGTAATGGTTGGTACCACTACGGTGGAAAGTGGACATTGGAGGAAGACTGGAATTGATGTCTGCTGAGGAGTGTGATGGGTAGCTCTGTAGCAAGAAGCAGAAAAAGGAGGCAATTTTCAACCATAAAATATTTAATGGGTTAGTTTTATAATACTTCCTTCTGCAATGGAGAAAGCCCTTAAAATTTCAAAATATTGAAGAATACATCTTGCTTAGATCTGACAACTTTCATTTTTCAAATATTAAAACACAAAGACACATAGTTTGGATTTGCATCAAATCTAGGGGAATATGATGGCAATGTAGGACAGTAAAAAAATGATTACAATCTCTAAATCTAAAAATTACTGCTTAAAAGCATATCTGTGGCCTTGGCCTGGCTGGTGTGGCTCAGTGATTGAGCCTCGATCTATGAACCAAGAGGTCAGAGTTCAATTCCTAGATTGTGGGCTCAATCCCCAGTAGGGGGCATGCAGGAGGCAACCAATTGATGATTCTCTCATCATTGATGTTTCTAGCTCTCTGTCCCTTTCCTTCCCTCTCTCAGAAATCAATAAAAACATTTTTTAAAAAAGCAGCTCTGTGACTTTAACAGCATAAAAAAGCACTGCTATGATTATTTCTTTATGCGGCCTACTGATCAGGTAAGAAAGATTCTATGATACACTGAGTAAAACAACACGGTGACCTACAGGGTTTTCATTACACTTCATCCTGACCTTCTGAACACTAAATGGCAAAGAGTAACCCATCTCGGGTCTTTTCCTGCCAAATTTGGTCACCTTTCTGAACTCCAGCAAGAACAAATGGTAAATAAAAAATTTAAAAAGTGCTAATGTTTAGCTATCTCTCTGAAGCCTTAACTCAATGACTGTACTGAATTAAATGAGAACAAGTGAACTGAGAATAACTATTTGACTTCTTACTTCATGTCCTCTCCATTAGTGATCTTCATCTTGTTGACTGTGAAAGATCACCTTTACAGAATCATTTGGGTTAAGGCTTGGCTTTGAGTTACATTATTGCACCAGTTGTCCAAATCAGCTGCTTTTCTTGGGGCATGTTACAGTACCTGGAAGGTTGGCAAATTAGGTTCCACCCAGCTATCTGCCTGGGAGTGAGCAGGTCATTAGGAGGGTCACAGTAATATTTACAGAAAAATATCGAGCTATGTTCCTGCTCAAGATGATGGGGAGCATTAGCTTAAAAAAGGTGTTCTCATAGGCATCTGATGGGTTATAAACATGTAAAGGAAAACATTTAAGCTAAAATATACTTTTTCCTCATATGTGATATATTAATGGGCTATGGATCTTTATTATGTGATTATTGGAGAGTCTGTTAATGTTCTATATAAAATTGAGATTGGAGATGATGCTCAAAGTCAGAGGTGCTTCAAGCCCAGGCCATTTATTCACAAGGAGTGAAACCCTGGTGTCTTGGTATTTTCTTTTATTTTGAGAGGCCCATCTTGGTTCTACCTCCGCCTGGATGATTCCTCACTGCTTCCCACTCTTCCAAGACGTTTCCTCTTGGAATCCCTAATGAACTGACAACATCTTCACTGGGCCATTTAATAATGATATGCTGCCTTTCATTGCGATCTCTCTCACATGCATTTCCATCTATACTGTACTGTAAACTCTTTAAAGGGAGAGAATACAGTTTATACCTTTGCATCCCACAACTTGCTACTGAGTGCAGAACACATAATTATCCTATGTAGGCAATGAACAACTGGCTACTGGTGTTTAATAAATAGTGGACTGAAATGCCAGTATTTGAGAGGTAACTAAAAAGTCTGAAAAATGAAACTTTGCTTCAGAGCCAAATCTGCCACATCCATGCTTTTGGATATATTACCTCTGCACACTCAAAGAGTCCAAAGAAAGGTCAACTTCAGTGTAAAAGTTGACATACTGCCCTTAAACTTTTCCAAGTTCCCAAGAATGTCTTTCAAACTTTTACGTTTTATGAACCTCTTTGCATGACTAAAAAATTCCTTATGCTACCTGTTAAACTCATTTCTACTTGCTGCTCACAGAATACCCCAAGTGGTCCCTTGAAATTTCTTCCAGAGAATAGTAGAGTGGGGCCATTCCATAGCAGAGCTAATCTGAAACTCTGAATAAGCCACAAACACCAAACTTAGAAGAACTATTTCTGCTGAGGAGCTAAAGACTATCATAAAGTGGAGAAAGAGAGAAAGACTGAGGAAAAAGAAAATGAAAAGAAAAAGAGAAGGTTTCAGTTCTGCTCCATGCTGAATTTCTGAAGAACAGAGAAACTTTATAAATCAGTCCCAACTATGCAAAAGTCAAAACAGAGACAAATATTATAAAAAACTATTGAAATAACTATTAATAATTATAGAATGACACAGGAAAGAAGATTATTGCATCGGTGAGAATTTTTACACCTCTTAAACCTGGGCAGTAATTCAGGATTTGACAAAGGGTTCATACTGACTTCTGAGACTAAAAAAAAAGTTCTTTCCCACAGATTTTAACGGGGAAACCCATTCAATGCACCCAAATCAGTTATTTTTAGAGACTCATAGAATATGAGATGCTGAAAGCAATTAATGAGATTTATAACTCGATTATTTTTCAAGAAAAAGTATCATGAAAACTACTGTTACTCAAAGTCGTAATAAATACACCACAGAGAATATCAGTGATATGTGAATCACGTCTCTTGTAGAGTAGTCAGGGATCTACTTAGGACATAGGATGGCACTGGCCCAAAGCTACAGGTGAACACTGTAAAGAACTGGCATTATTTTCAAGTGAAAAAACACCAACTGCCTACTATATACTCCAATTATTCTCAGTCAGGGTCAGATTTTTTAATGTCACTTCAAAATATTTCCGAAGGGTTACTGAAATGACAATGACCACTCGATATAACAATTCAACAGTTTCCAGTGAGAAACCATCAGTGAGAAAATTCATTTAGGATACACTGCCAGGGACATAATTCATACTTCATAACTGTAATTTTGCTACTGTTATGAATCGTAATGTAAATATCTGATATGCAGGATGTATTTTCATTGTTTGTGACCCACAGGTTGAGAACCGCTGCCTGAGTCTCTTTTAGTCCAGCTATTAATACTGTCTGCCCTGCTTACTACAAAGCAAAAGGGGAAGTATGATAAAGTTCTATGGCTTTACATGCCCACTATTTATTTTTACCTTTAATGGCCTAAGAGAGTGTATTTAGAATCTATTGATAGAGTAAGTGGTGATAATGTTTCCATTAGTGATGTTTTTATGGGTTGATAATTCAAAGATTGATCTCACTGATATGTGGAATCTGTATGATGGACAAAACAGAACCAGAGGCACATGGAACAGACTGACAGAGGTTAGCCAAAGAACACATATGAAGAGATTAGTGGAAGAACATATATGCATAGCCCAAGGACACAGACAACAGTGTGGTGATGGTCAGAGGAAGGGGGGAAGGAGACTGGGTGAAGGTGAGTAAAAGCACGGTGAGTTGTAGGGGGACATCTGTAATAGTGAAAACAATAAAAAAGTTAAGGAACTATAATAATTGGTAGCACATACCAAGAAGACAATTGGGCTTTAGGGTAAGGCAGGGTTTCACAACCTTGGCACTACGGATTGTACCAGGTAATTCTTTACTGTGGGAGGCTCCCCTGTGCATTGTAGCATTTTTACCAGCGTCCTTGGTCTCTATACACTAGATTCCAGTTGCAACTACACCCCCACCCCCACCCCAACACACACACACACACACACACACACACACACACACACACACACTTCCAAATGTTTCCTGAGGGGCAAAAATCATATCTGATTGAGAATCACTAGGGGAAGCGTTTATGTTACAAAAAATAAAGACAACAGAACTTCCTTTATATTAAAATTCCTGACTCCAAGGACTATGTTACTCTGTAGTGCAAAGATCAGGCCTCAACCATGCCAACAGCAAGGACTTCATCCTATTTTTAGAATGAACTCTGTCAAGTCATTCCAAACTTAAACCTTCTACAAGAACCATTCCAAAGCTCAACCACAAACTCCATTTTTTTGAGTGACTTTGTACGTACACTTAGGACATAGCATGGCACTGGCCCAAAGCTACAGGTGAACACTGTAAAGAACTGGCATTATTTTCAAGTGAAAAAACACCAACTGCCTACTATATACTCCAATTATTCTCAGTCAGGGTCAGATTTTTTAATGTCACTTCAGAATATTTCCGAAGGGTTACTGAAATGACAATGACCACTCGATATAACAATTCAACAGTTTCCAGTGAGAAACCATCAGTGAGAAAATTCATTTAGGATACACTGCCAGGGACATAATTCATTCAGCCTTTTTAAAAAACAAAACCCCTAATCTCTAAGATCTGCTACATGATCATGTTAAGAATAAAAACCCTGTGGTTTGTGATGGATAAGTGACATCACAAATACAGCATCTGATGCAATTTACTGGGTTACTCCCTCCAAATGATCTTTCTTCCTGGTCGACAACAGTGTTTTCATTAAGCAAAACTTTTTCGAAGTGTAGTTGGTTTCCTTTACAAAGCTATATTTTTGTGTGCATTTGAGCATATTTTAAAGATATCTCCCCCATGCAGTGAATTTGGGATAAAATGAAACCACCTAAATCAAAATTCTAGACCATGACAGGGAAAGAAAAAAGAATTATAGAAGGGAAGAAAAATGTCAGGTGGACAACTCTTAAAAGGACTGAAATTCCAACATATTAGAATACTGCCAAAATCTTTTACGTGTAATCAAAACTTTCCTTGCTCATAGGACACATGTAGATTTGATCATGAGTTCCTTAGAGAAGTGGCAAATGATGATGGATAAAGAAAAATGTTAGCCAAGAAGAAATTCTAGTATAATAATAGTTGATATTTCTCTAAGCTTTCAATCTAATACCTCCAAGTAGGAGGCAGGAGAAGAGAAAATCTGAAAGCAAAGCATCTGCTATCGAGTAAAAATGTGCTGAACTTTGAGATAGTTTGTGATTTACACATTCAAACTTAGGAGATAATATAAAAGGCCAATACTACCTTCATTTGTCTCTCATTAAAGGATAGGTTAATTGACCACATGGTGTCTCTGTCACTAGGACTAAATAAGTAGGCATATTCAAGTATTTCAGAAATCCTAACTCCTGGGATATTTTAGGTTGTTAGAATAGGATATAAGTCGCTTTCTCCATACCTCTAGTGGTTGAGCAAAAGAAAGATCACAGAAATCTAGAAAGCACTATATCCTATATCAGGACAGAGAAAGAAACCTAACTCTGGGTACTAAAAAAAGGGGAGACTCCAAGATGAAGAGAAATGATATAAAGACTACTAATGCTAGTGGACTGGTAATAACCTTGTAGGAATGGACGTCCATACATTTCCAAAGCTAGGTTATTGCACAAGGGACTCAGTTTTACCTATCTGCATCGCAAACCTAACTCGTGATCTAGAAGTACTTTTTCCTCCATTTAATGATAGACTTACATTCACAAGCAGATTCTTGGCTGTGGTTGTTTTGAGGCTAGAAAAAACAACAGGTTGAGTTGCTTCCTCCAGGATAAAAAGTAATTAATATTAGGATGGATGAGTGTAGGTGATGGGCAGAGTGGAAACTTTAGTAATAACAGAAAAAAGAGTAACATTCTACAGCAGTTTTCAACTGGAATGAGGCAAAACAGAGTATCAGTAGAAGATTGGGGCTGTGGAATTAAAACTAAATATAGAAAATTTGGAATCTGCACTATATAGAAATCCCATGGTTGCTGTTACTGATAGGAGGGTAAAGAAAAATGAACTCTTTCTCCCAGTGTGAGAGAAGCCGGTCAAGGGGAAGTGGAAATGCCCATGCATATCACTACCCTCGAAGTCTACTGACTGTCACTCTGCCCCCTGCAGTATATCCTTCAAAACTACAAATAGCAAAGAAAAAAAAAAGAAAAAAAAAAGAAACAGCCATAGCTGAATTCTGCAACTGAAATACAGTGTGTACTTATGTAACAAAGTAAGTTGACAGTGTGATAAAGAAAACACAGAACAAAACACAATAAACAAGAACAATGACAAGGAATCCAAAAGCACTTACAAAGGTGATCTGATTCAGTCCCATCTTTGATTATAGGAACAATACAACTGTGAGCATAATGGGTGTGTACAGTGTTGCATGCATTTGCAGAGTCCTTGTGTACACGCATGGAAAGGCAAGGACTGGATTTAATAAACCAGCTGTCTGATCCCCATTGCCATGTGAATCTGCCTTACCAAACGTTCGTGTGGATGCAGGCTACAGTAGCTGCTAGACTGTGGAATATGAGAAGAATTGCCCAGCATCCCTCCGTAGCCAGGCTGATTCATCCCACTGGAGGAGCTCCAAGGGTCACTGCTGTGATGGCCATCTGTAAAGGACAAAGAAAACCGTGACTCTTCTGAGGCATTCAGCCTTGCTTAACAGAATAGAGGTTTTTCATATACTTGAAAATGGCTGTCTCTTGTGCATTCATCTTTGTGTCAGTTAGCTGGTTACATCAGAAAAAAAGTCATCATTATTTTCCCCCAAATGACTGACTCTATATTGCTAAACAAACATAAATATTTAACATAGCAAAGTGTTCTTAGTAAAAAGCCAACTGTAAAAGAAAAACATTTCTACATGGAATTATGTTCAGGCAGCAGGGCACCTAATGCTAAAGGAAACATTTCTTAGAACTATTCTGATGCTACTTTCTATGAAAACTAACCAAAAAGTTAAACTGTTCCTAAATTTTGGGGTAAAAAAATACTTGAGACATTACACAGTTGGCATGTCTACAAGTTTAAACAGTATATAAAGAAATAAGTAATAATGAACAAGAACATCTCATATTTAAGACTGAATTTCATTTTTGTAACATATACAGTAGATAGAATTAAAGTTGCAATTACATTATGACATAGAGGAAAGAGAAGTCTTGAATATATCATTCTGAGTTTTTATTCCCTTTAAAAACATTTTTTGGTATATAGATATATGGCTATCTTAAGCCTTCAGTAGCAATTCAAAGAGTACACATCATAAAGTGGATAATGTCTACAGTCAATTTTGAGAGTCTGGATTTTATACAACTATCATGAGTTTAAAAGAGGTTTAAATTATCTTTTTATATCAAGTTAATCTTTTTGGAATACCATATTAAAAACATTCCTATAGATTCTCTGGGTCTATTGGCCTAGAACAGGGGTGGGCAAACTTTTTGACTCGAGGGCCACAATGGGTTCTTAAACTGGACCGGAGGGCCGGAACAAAAGCATGGATGGAGTGTTTGTGTGAACTAATATAAATTCAAAGTAAACATTATTACATAAAAGGGTACGGTCTTTTTTTTTTTAGTTTTATTCATTTCAAACGGGCCAGATCCGGCCCGCGGGCCGTAGTTTGCCCACGGCTGGCCTAGAAGTTACTATGGGAGATGGGTTTTGTTTGCTTTAGGTTTCTCAAATTAGGGGGGAAGAGCCCATGTTGCTGCTGGTTCTTTCAAGTTTTCCTTCTGTCACGTTTGACAAAAATCACTGAGTGCCAGATATATACCATGCCACCAGGTAGGTGTTAACTATATGTCAGGCATTGCTTTGTGAAAATAAGGTTATTTTCACCAGCCTTTTATTTAATAAAGGTCTTTTGAAAATGTAGGCAATAGGCAAGTTAAATCTAACACTGTATCTCATGAGCCTTCTTTTTTTCTGAGATTTTAAACTTAGAAGTTAGAATTCAGAAAACTGGAATAGTTTCAGGACAGAAAGGAATAATCTATAGATTTCTTAAGAACTATGCAAGCAAAATCAAGTCTGTGATCTTGATAATTTAGGAATTGTAACTAGAAGATGGAAATTAAAGTTAAAAATAAGAGGCTGCACAGTAGTAGGTTTAAAATATGCCCCTGACAGTCTCTGAATATCTTTCCCCTAAACAGCATGTTTCTCCAAGGCCTGAATTCCCGGGGCACTGAAGGAAGCCCATGTGTAATGGGGCCACAATGCACTGTTCCTGGGATGGTAATGTGAAAAAATCAGACTTTCAAAAGTTATCATTCATCTACTTTAGATTTAGCCCTGAGATTGAGGAAGTTTAGATGTCACACATGAAGTTCAGGACCACTAACTTTTCAAATAGATGGCATATATGACGAATAAATTGAAAATATATATCATTAAAAAGGACGCTTTTGAAACATTTTGACAACATGAGGCACTATATGGAAATACATTTCGGATTTGTTAACACAGAACACTCAACCCAATGTAGACTCATAAAAATACGTATTTTACATAAATTATGCTTTTCACAGTAAATTAATATTTATCACATCCCATGATCTTGGCATAATGTTGTTTTGAAAGAATAGAATTAGACATGTGCAAATTAATTGTGCTCATCATAAATGTCAACTCAAAAAAATGTTTTGGCGTGTTGAGTATTCATATGCAGAAAAGAAAATTTGTTTCCCATCCCTGCATGGTCTGCAGGGAGGAGAACCTATTGTTTTAAACTACCCCAGCTCCTTTGCAGTGTGCAGTTTAAGCAAGCCACCTCTGTGAAGGCAGGCAGAAGAAATCTATCCTTCTGTCAATTTTCTCCATGAAAATCTGCTTTTAGTGACGAATCCTTGAGTTGATAATCTTTGTAAGCACCAGTAGCACAACTAGCCACAAAAGAAGGTGCTGATGCCCATGGGGATATGGCTGCTTTTTATAGCTGAAGGGGAGGAGCCTTTTGTAATGGCACAGAACACACCCAAGTGACATGCCCTGGGGTATTCCTATGAGAGTTACACCTAGGACAGGTCACAAAGATAAAGGGTCCCTGTGAACATGAGCTCCATTATGCATGGAACAAATTCTCTCTATTCCTGAGGGACCCATTCAATTCAATTTTATAGATTTTCCATGGAATTTTACAAGTGAGCTAATAACCTAAAAGAGCTAACACTCTGAAGGGAAAGAAAATAAGTCCATTTTAATCAGAATGATTTTGAGTGTGTCCACTGTAATCTAAGCGAGACACCAGGCTGCTCCCCTGGCACCTGCAGCCCTAAGTAGGCTCCCCTTGCTGTGACATGGCCCTTCCTAGAGTAGCGCAAGTAAGGAAATCTCATGGCACTTGCCAAAGACACACTCAAACAAGGCTTCCACAGCCTGGCAGAAAGAGTTAAAGTTCTGCGTACAGGGGATCTCGGTCAATTCCATACCTGAATTTCAGAGTATTAACTTGGTAATATGATCATTGCGTTCTGACAGTAAGTGTCACAGACACATCAGGAATGGAGCTTAGCTGCATCCTCCAAACTCTATTCTTACAGCAGCTGCTGTCATTTCAACCATCTTGGTCTTTTTTCAAGCAGTAGACAGGGGCTGTGCTATCAATGGCAAGACTATAAACTCAGGGACCACACATCCACGGTAATTTAGTCAAAGACACTGGCCAGTTAGAAAAATAAATATGTTTTTTCAACCACAAAGTTATAATATTCTGCATTTGTCGAGGAAGAAAACTGGGTGTTTTGCCCTACATCAATTAGCAAGCTGAATAAAGCTTTGGCTGTGATGAAATAATATTCCAGTTTTCAGATAGGTCACTTCACTGATCCAAATGAGATGCTTGTTCTTACCTATGAAACAATACGTGGCTAAAATTTTAATATAAAGTTATTTATAATAACAAGTTGTCCCCTGGTATGTTAAATCCAAGATGCTCAAAATATACACTGAGTCCAAACACTTCAGAACATATACACACACTCTTCTTGAGGGTGAAGATGCTGAAATGGTAAGTCATGGAAGACCATCCTCCAAGACATCGGTTCTTAGTAAAGCAAACCAGTCTAAGCTTAACGCATCATTGCTGCAGGGGCTTTCATTTAAAAAACAGGTGTTAGTAAGTTTTAAGTCGTTTATTTGTAATGAATGCATGACCGTCAGTATTCTATACTTGTCTACTATTCCACTTCTTGGGTATCAGTTCAGCAGTCACTTGCCTCATACATGGCATGACAAGACCCAGGAAGACTCTTCGCAGTGATTTCTGGTTAGGGGAAGAGACAGCTTACCTTGCATGAAGAAGGAGCTAGGGAAAGTGCTGGCTGCTGGTTTCGAGGAAGGGTAGCCTGGCGAGTCCCTATTGTAGTCGGCAGTGCTTGCTGATGGAGCATAAACCTGAGGAAGGAGAGGCGATTTAGTTTGGCTGGCTGCATGTTCAAGGTCCACAACAATATAAGAATCAGGCACACAGTGCTAAATGTCTACCATGTGCATTCTCAATCGATGAAAGCCTAGAAACACTGCTCCTTTCTGAAAAACAGAAGACAACCCCTTGCCCTCAAATACTCAGTACATTTGTGTGACTGGGAGACTGGATGTGATATTTTCAAGTCACAGGCAAGAATATGTCTAGTTATAAATTTGTTATATAATACCAATACGGTGATCGTGGGAGTTTAAATATCCTTTCTTTTTAAAAGCATAGGTGGCCCAAGAGCACATGAAAGGTGAAAACAGAAAGACATGCACCAAGATTCTCCCATTTTAAAAAATGTTAGCTTTCAATTGCAGTTGGCATTCAATATATTATTAGTTTCAGATGTACAGCATAGTGGTTAGACATTTATATAACTTACAAAGCTTCTCCCCTTTTACTCTACCTTTTAATTAAAATTTTCACTTCTGAGAGAAGGAGAAAACACATACACTATTCAAACCAAAGAAAGTGACAAATATGTCTTGGAATATTATTCCTATAGTGCCAGCTTTTTGCAGAGATGCATGAACAAGGCCACTAAGAGCCAGTTCTACATAGACCACCAACAATCAGTGTGCAAAGAAGGGGGAAGCCCTCCTTTATAGTTCTTCTTATATTTCTGTGTGCCGTTAAATCAAAAAGTGTGCCAAAATCCCAATTTGCTTACATTTGTTTACTAATACTCATGAGATCTGGGGAACTGGGTCTTTATAAAAATAACCAGTGTATTTTTCTCTTTATGTTTCCCTTAAAGATGACAGCATACTGGAAAGGCATAAATTCATAAGGTACAGTTTAACTGTAATTGATTTTCCCCTTGCCTTTTTTGCTAAATATAATTTTTTAAATCCCCATTTTCGTTTTCTCCAGAAGTTCCTCTCTCCAGATGGTGGGGGACTGAGCACTGTCGTCCTCCTGAGGAAACGGATACCTCCCTCCTCCATTTTGAAGCAGCAGCGCTCACAGAATTGGCAGTGAGCCCAACTGAGACTCACAGGTCACAGTACAAGAAAGAGAAATTCACCAATAAAAAGGCAACGGCAGGGTTACCAAAAAAATAAAATAAAATAACTCCCCCCTTTTTTACAGCACACATCAAATAAACACCCTACGATAAATTATATAATTGCTCTCAGAACACCATGAATCACAAACTAAGTATTACTATAAGGTTTAGAATTTCACAAAGGATAGGTCCACAGAGACAGATGTGGAAAAATATGCATACACATACATACATCAAATAAATGCTACATATGCCCCACAGTGCCCTTGAAAATTGGGAGGTCCTGGAGATTGAACAAAACAAAAACAAACCAGAAAAACCCATGTGCAATTTAGAAAACAAGGATTTTTCCTGCGTCATGGTGGGAGAGAAGTCCTATATTTCACAGGCTATATTTCATTTTCTTTTTAAATGTTCTTCATATTTTAAATGTATAAATAGCTATTGGCTTCTATTTTCAAAGGCCTTACAATAAGGGGGGAATTTTTTAAAATATATTAAAGGGACAAAAAATAAAACTTAACCCAGGAATCCCCAAACAAATTAATACTCTCAGTTCTGCAAACCAAAACCCAGTATTTTCTTGAGAACTATACAATTAACAGTTTCAAAATGCTCCTAAATGTATTCGGAGAAGGTCTTAAATGTAGGGTAAAAAGATAAAAGAAAACATTACCTTCTAGAAAAGGGGGAAATTGGAAATTAGATCATCTCATTCCAAGAAGAGTATGAGCATAATATGACTATAATATATCTATCTACAGGCCATTAGCCTGACAGCTATTTGGCCAGCCAGTGTTAATATATAGTACTACGTGTTATCGCCAAATTTCAGAAATTAATATATTTACTATAAAACTGAAAATAAACTCTAACTCATTATTAAACCATATTTTAAAATAATGGAAATAACTCACTTTAAGATAATAGTTTAGTTTTAATTATATATTTCACTACATTATCCTTAAACATGTACTAGTATATTATTATATCAACATCATTTGATTGCTCCTAAGGTTAATTTTTCCCCTCCTAATTTGGATGGAATTATTTGTTAATTCTTTTGTGAAATAAGGACAAAACTTTGGTAATTTTGTTCATGTATAAGGAAGTTACGTTGATTACCAATTATGATCAAGCTTAAAGATCTGTGGGTAAGATCATTTACTCCAAATTAATAAATGCTACCTGCATGAAAAAGAATATCGATGTGATTTAAAAAGTTCTTAGGGCATCTTATACCATCCGATTTGTTTTTCTGGTGTTGTAGCCAAATGATGACTCTTTAGACAAGACAGAAATCTTTGTTAACAAGAAATGGACCATTGTTTAATGGCTTTAAAAAAAAAGAAAATTTCTGCATATTTTATAAATTTTCTTTACATCATAATGTAAAGATCAGGTATAATGTCATTTACAAACTTCATCCTTGTCACTGCAAAAGTTATAAGTGCTCTATCTATTTGTTTATACAAATAAATATCACACAGAACTTATACTTTTAAAAGAAGAAGAAAAAAAATTATTTATTTTAACTATAAGAAAATTCAATAAAGAAATGATCAAAGCAGCTGCTAACAATATGTGACTTGATCAAACTGCACCGCTATCAACTGCTCTTTATTTTCCACTTTTTAAAGGTTACTTTCTTTAAAAATAGAGACGGAGGTATCAGATAATATTGGTGAAAACAGAGTGATCATAATGTTCATACTTCAGTTATCCTTCATGTTTTCATCTTTAACAACCTAGATGATCAGTGAGCTGCTTCAATATTTTTAGTTTAGTCAACTATTTTGCCAATTTCTCAACCAAAAGGCTTCAGAGGACAGGTGTTCAATAGAGATACTAAATTCAATAAGAAAAACTCACGTCATTTAATTTTAATTATTACTATTCTATGCAAATAGAAAAATGATGTAGACATTTGTTAAATAAGATAACTTTTTACTTAACAAAACAATAACAAACATCAAATAGTTGGAATCATTTTTAATGACTAACACCAGAAAATCAGTACAATGAAAAATAGAATTAAAATCCCAAACTCTAGTTCAATGTACTGAAGTGACTCTCCACCAGTGAAACACGAGGAAAGTCTAAAGGGAAACAAAAATCTACATTTAGTTTTTCTCTGATACGGTAGCTTTGATCAAGGTGACTTTTGGCATCCCGATTCCTCCCATAAGAGTGACTGAAGAAGTGAAAAACTTTTGTTGCAAAATTGGGAATGGGGAGACTTGGCCATAGCTTATAGGCGACAGCCTTTTAATGAACAATTTGTTGAATAAAAGCTTCATGGAACACTAATAGCAAAGTATAGTTACTATTCAAAGTAAACACTACATCTTTTCCTTACAATCCTGAATTTAAATCAAAACCATGAATATAAAAATCCTGAGTTTAACAAAGCTCTCTAGATAAGATTAAACCCCGAACTGATAAAAACAACGAATGTTTTCATATTTACTTTTTGTTGCACCCGTAGAAGTATTACTATTGTACATTAGCTGTCCCATCCAATGGTCCTGATTATCCTTTGTGCAGCCATCAAAGAAACAATAATATGACACATGCTTTTAAACTAGAACCTCTGCCTATTAGAAAAGAAGAAAACTAAACAAAAAGAAAAAAGAAAAAAAAGAAGGAAGTAGCAGCTCCTACTTTTTATAAATTGAAATTTATAATTATCAATACAAGGCTTATTTGGCTATAGTTTGTAGAAATATTCTTGTGGGGTCTCATAATTACCTTTAAGAAAATAAGATATGATATGGTATATTCAGAGTGAAACTAGAATATGTTCATGGTATTTGCCTCCTGAAATGGGAGCTAAACTGAGGAGATCAAGTAAAGTGGCTACAGCTCATGTATAATGGGTGATAGACAGTGAATTACACAGTCCACCTTTAACATTACTTAACATTACTACCCCTTTGAGAGTCTGCATATATCTGAACATATAATTTCCAAAGAGAACATGTAATTTCCAAAGTTCAGAGTAACTAAGACAGTGTGATCAAAACTTTCAGACCCTTAAAAAGTGGCTATATGCTCCATGGTGAATAGAAAAGAGCAAAGCAGAATTATGCCTCAGATTCCCAAGTGCCAGAGAGGCTCGCTTAGCAGCTTCAGACCTTGGGAGATTTCACAAATATTCTGAAGTGTGGCAGTTAAACACTCAAATGCCAAGAGTTTGTAGTGTGTGCCTGATGTTTTCGGACCGGGGCATAAGCTTTGAAGCTTCCTAGCATCTAATGGGGAAAAGTTCTTAGATGATCAGCTCACACTACTTAGCCAACTGGATTGGACCCTCAACTCTTACAATATTGTTTGAAGGACGTGGGTCACAATAAGAGAAAAGTACGGCCCAGGGGCAGTGATCCCTCCACGTGTAGAAGATGTAAATGGACACTGTAATTGGCCTATGAGACCAAGTTAAAGATACTAGTATGTTGCTAGCTGATCCATAAAGCGAGGGGAAGATGTACTTAAAAGAGACAGTCTCCCGGTAATACAGAAACAGGTTTGGCAGGATAGGAGAAATTACCCAACTCTGGAACCAGATCAACTCTTTTCAAATTCCAGCTCTCCCAATTAGTTGTGAGGACAAAACAAAGCAATTTATCTCTCAGAGCCTCAAGTTTCCTTTGTCAAATGAGGCTATCCTATTCTTATTGTGAGGATCAGAGAAAATATCTATTCAGCATTAGTACTAACATATTGTAGTCACTCCATAAATGATAGTATTATTTATATCTTGTTGTAAGTGCTACTTATTGCTTATAGCTATTTTTAACATGTCTAGAATGGAGCTGTTCAATATAGTAGCCATTAGTAATATGTGGTTATTTGAATTAAGCTGAATTAAAATTAAATAAACTAACATAATTAGTCCCTCGGTCACAGTAG